AAGCCTTAGGAAATAATTGGCATAACACAGACAAATTCATAAAACCATAGTAGTAATAATAATAATAATTGTATATGAGACTGATTATCATTATTATCATCATAATGATGTCCATATTGGTAATAAAAACAATTATAACAATAACAATAATCATGACAATAACACCAACAATAATAATAATGTTATTAAAAATTAGAATAATAATAATGACATTAATATCAACTCTAACAATAATTATCATAAAAACTAATAAAAAAGTATTACTATTGCTAATCATAATTATAATTATAATCATAATCATAATAACAATAACAATAATAATAATAACAACAATCAAAATATACAATGACAAATATAATAATAATAAAATTTTTATTAACAAAAATAATAACCATAAGAAGAAGAAGAAAAAAATCATCGTGGCCATGACCATGATCATAATAACAATAAAAATAATAAAATTAATAATAATAATAAAAGGATAACAAAAATAAAGAGAGAGATATTGGAAAATGATAACAGCATTAATAATAATAATAATAATGATAATAATGATAATAATAATAATAATAATAATAATAATAATAATAATAATAATAATAATAATAATAATAATAATAATAATAATAATAATAATAATAATAATAATAATAATAATAATAATAATAATAATATTATTAATAATAACAATAAAAATATTAATATTAATAATAATATTAATAATAATAATAATAATAATAATAATAATAATGATAATAATAGTAATAGAAGTAATAATAATAATAATAATAATAATAATAATAATAATAATAATAATAATAATAAAGTTAAAATAATAAGATAATAATAATATAAATCAACAATAACAAAAAAATAAAAAAATAAAAAAATAGTAATAACAATAATAATAATAACGATAATAACAACAATAATAATGATGATAATAACAATAATAATAACAATAATAATAATAATAATAATAATAATAATAATAATAATAATTATAATAAAAACAATCATAATAATAATAATAACCATAATAGAAAAAAATTACATCAACAGAATAGCACTAGCAAAAATTAGTATCCGTAAATAATAAAGAGTAAAAGCAATAATAATCATTATCGTAATAAATATAATAATGGCAATAATACTAATAATACTAATACTAATACTAATACTAATACTAATACTAATACTAATAATAATAATATTAATGATAATAATAAAAATATAACAATATAATACAACAACAATATGATATTCAAAACATAATATAATATAACAATAATAATAATAATAAGACAAAGAAGAAAATCAATAATGATTATTATATAATTACCATTATTATTATTTTAAAAAATGGAGATTACTATTATCATAACAACAATGATATAGATGATGAAGATGAATATGATGGTGATTTTTATTATCATCATCATTAATACTATTTTTATTATTATTATTATTATTATTATTATAATCTTTATTATTATTATTATTATAATCTTTATTATTATTATCATTATCATTATTATTATCATTATTATTATTACTATTATAGTGTTAATAGTAAAAGTATTAAAAATAACAATAACAACAACAACAATAATAATAACAATTACAATAATAATCATAATAACAATGACAGTAATGATAATAATAACAATATTAAAAACAATATTGAAAAAATTATGATGATGACAGTGGTGATGAAGAAGATTGTGATGATGATGACAAAGACGATAACAATACAAGTGGTGGCAATAATGAAGATCATTATTATCATTATTGTTGTTCTTATTATTGTCATCATCATTGTTATAATTAACATCATTAAAATTATTCATATCATTATTATAATCATCAATATCATTATTATAATCACCAATATCATTATTATTTTTATTCTTGATAATCATAATAGTAATAACGATGATATAATTATGATTATTGTCATTATTACCAGAACTACTAATATTATCATCAAAATTAGCATTATCAAAATTGTTTTTACTACTATCATCATGATAATATTAACCATTACAATAACACCAATAATTACAATAATAATAATAATGATGATGAAAATAATAATGATAATAATAGTGATAATACTAAAACGATATTAATAACTATAAAAATAAAATATTATTATTAATAATGACAGTAAAAGTATCTACATTAATAAAGATAACAACAAAAAATATAACAACAATATCAGTAACACTATCCTACTAATAATAATGGTAATAAAAATGTCAAAAATACCATTAATAATAACCATAACACTAATTATAAAGATTATTATAACAACGACAATAATAATATCGATAACATTAAAAATCAGATTAGAAATAAGATTAATAATATTGTTATGATAACAATAACAATAACACTATTAATAATAATGATGATGATGATAATAATAATAATAATAATAATGATGTTGACAAGTGGTGGTGATGATGATGATATATATATAGATAACATGTAAAGAAATCATATGGATGCAAAATAGAAAATGAATAACAATTACCACATCAAAATCTTATGCAACTCATTCTACCCTAAGATAACATATCCTGCCTTACCATGTCCCTATCTAAGCAAGTGACCAAATATAACTTATTGTAGTTGCCCAATCAACTCTTAATTAACTTTCCCTATACTAGCCAAACTCAAATTTCCAATTCAACAATAAAGCATTACTGTTATTACTATGATCATAATCATACCTGTATATCATTATTTTTACACTAGTACTCTCCATTATCATTAAAATACGTAACACTGAAATTATCATTTTCACATATAATCATCATAATATCTATACTATTACTGCTATCATCATTATCTGAACCCCTCTGATCTGGATAACATAACCATCAAAACATGAAAAAATTTGGCTTGAAAACTGGGTGATATGAACTTGCCATCGTGAGTATTTTGGCTGAAGGTGATGGGAAAGAATTGCCTTGAGTACACAAACCTTTTGGTAGATGATTAGACTTTTGAATTATTTCCATTGATAAACGAGTGTGGATTGTAGTGTCCATGAGCTATGACTGGGAGAGTGTTTCCTGGCTGCTGTGACCAGTGGCACAGGTTGTATTAAAGAAAATAGGGAGGGGGGGAGAAAAGAAAAGAAAAAAAAAAAAAAAAAAAAAAAAATGAAAAATGTTACTTAACCCCTTGGTGCCGGGTCACGCCGATAGGCGTGTAAACAAAGCGCTCAAAAGCTGGCGTGCAGCCAAACGAGCCGGCGGCGCGCCAAAGTGCTACGAGCCAGTGATTCGGGTTGACATCCCGTACTCGCGCGCTCAAAGTCGGCGCGCCACCTTTGTTTGCTAGAGCGTAGAGTTTTTTTTTTCCTTTTGTACACCCGGCGCCATTGGGTTCATGCTGTTATGCTTACACAATGTTATGGACTAACTAGTGAGATGATAAGGAATTTGTGCAAGGAAAAAAGCTAAAATTGTTTATGCATAAAAAGGGGAGGCATAGTCTTGTGACCAGCCTAAGAGTGTTCGCATGCACCCAGCCTACAAAACACGCACCCATCAGAGTGGCTGATCATGTAAGCCTAAATAATGTCTGTATTTTGAACCACCCAACTGCTGTGAGGCAACCAGACCCAATGGGTTAGGTATTTTTTATCAATTCCATTACTGTTCTCATTTGGACACCTTCCTATTAACATTATCATTATTATTATTCCTATAGTTATAATCATCATAATTATCATTAATCCATAATATCAACAAGAATAATGATAATCAAAATAATATTAATGTATCAATAATGATTATCAAAATACTACTACTGTATCAATACTGATTATCAAAATAATAATACTGTATAGATAAAATTATCATTTTCATCAATATATATCATTGGAACATGCCTTATTTTCCTAATACAAATAAAAAGGTCCCATTCTGGTATGTACTGCCATTACTTCTAGACTTTAAAATTATCCTATATTTACAAACTTACCAAATAGGATGAAAAGTACCATATAAAACAATCACACAGAATAGGCTTCACAATCTACCTGTAGTTCCCTTGACACTGCTGATTGCCCCCTCCCCTTCCCAAAAAAAAAGGTAGGAAAAAAACAAAAAATACACGATACTTTCTAACCTCTACTTTCTTGAAAATTACTGCACTAATAAACCAAAGGTAGTTTTCAGCTGTATTCCCAACAGTTGTAATAATTTGCACAATTCAATCTATAAATTTGCACCTAAAGCACCAGTAATACTTCCCAACTATAACAATGACCATCATTTAATATGCAACTACCCTAAATAAAATCAAAACATATTCACACATACAGTACACTACACATGGGAATACAATTCTCCATAACACACTAGTATATCAATTACTCAAATCTTCAATCGGACTGTATGGCTTACCAAATGGATTTTGAAATGGATTACTTTGCTGCTGATCACAAATGGTTCTATGATGTGACATATCAGTTAAGCACTGCCACAATGAAAAGAGTTTGGACATGAATGAAAACTGATCTGATCTAAACAAAATTATAACAAACATCTAAACTGTTACAGTGATTCATATTTCATTAAGGACATAACTGATTTTCTAACAACCTGACAAGCTGACCAAGCCCTTGACAGTTCGACCATTAATGCATTTGACACAATGACTAGTGCTCTTTTAGTGACCACCATTAAGTGAATGGATAGGAAAAACAACCGAGTTACACAATGAAGACATCAACAGAACAGAGTATGTTCTGAGTGACAAAATCCATGATTATGATTCATAACAGGAACCGCTTGTTTGTTTGCATCAGTCACCCCTGACAGTTATTAAAATGTCCTCGTGCCTAGCAGCGAGGAAACTGGAGAGCTAACAACACAGGACACACAAGCTACAGCGTTCAACAGATCCGCGAGTCTGTCTGTACCTGCATCGACCTCCCTCTCCCCTTCGCCTTAATTTTCTGTCTCCGATGGTCTCCTTAC